CTGAGGGAGTGCCGCACTGTTGGAAGGTCAGTGCTGAGGGAGTGACGCACTGTCAGAGGGTCAATGCTGAGGGAGTGCCGCACTGTTGGAAGGTCAGTGCTCAGGGAGCGCTGGGGAATGTTTATCTGGTCTACAAGATGCAGTAGTTGATCACTCTCTTACCCATCGCCGTTCTCAGTGCCTCGTTGTATTGCCCACATTTAGACTTTTCATAACTAATGAAAATGAAGTTGAATGATGTTTGTGAACAACTTGAACTGTGTGTTGTCGAAAAATCTGAAAAACAACGGCAAGGAAGTGAGGGGTAGTAGGAACTGCAGATGCTGGAGAATCTGAGATAACCAGATGTAGAGCTGGATGAACACAGCAGGCCAAGCATTAGAGGAGCAGGAAAGCTGACGTTTCGGGCCTAGACCCTTCTTCAGAAATGGGGGAGGGGAACGGGGTTCTGAAATAAATAGGGAGAGGGGGGAGGCGGATAGAAGATGGATAGAGGAGAAGATAGGTGGAGAGGAGAGAGACAGGTCAAAGAGGCAGGGATGGAGCCAGTAAAGGTGAGTGTAGGTGGGGAGGTAGGGAGGGGATAGGTCAGTTCAGGGAGGACGGACAGGTCAAGGGGGCGGGATGAGGTTAGTAGGTAGGAGATGGGGGTGTGGCTTGAGGTGGGAGGAGGGGATAGGTGGGAGGAAGAACAGGTTAGGGAGGCGGGGACGAGCTGGACTGGTTTTGGGATGCGGTGGGGGGAGGGGAGATTTTGAAACTTGTGAAATCCACATTGATACCATTGGGCTGCAGGGTTCCCAAGCAGAATATGAGTTGCTGTTCCTGCAACCTTCGGGTGGCATCGTTGTGGCACTGCAGGAGGCCCAGGATGGACATGTCGCCTGAGGAATGGGAGGGGGAGTTGAAATGGTTCGCGACTGGGAGGTGCAGTTGTTTAGTGCGAACCGAGCGTAGCTGTTCCACAAAGCGGTCCCCAAGCCTCCGCTTGGTTTCCCCGATGTAGAGGAGGCCACAACAGGTACAGCGGATACAGTATACCACATTAGCAGATGTGCAGGTGAACATCTGCTTGATGTGGAAGGTCTTCTTAGGGCCTGGGATGGGGGTGAGGGAGGAGGTGTACGGGCAGGTGTAGCACTTCCTGTAGTTGCAGGGAAAAGTGCCGGGTGAGGTGGGGCTGGAGGGGAGTGTGGAGCGGACAAGGGAGTCATGGAGAGAGTGGTCCCTCCGGAAAGCAGATAAGGGTGGGGAGGGAAAAATGTCTTTGGTGATGGGGTTGGATTGCAGATGGCGGAAGTGTTGGAGGATGATGCGTTGGATCCGGAGGTTGGTGGGGTGGTACATGAGGACGAGGGGGATACTGTTTTGGTTATTATTACGGGGACGGGGTGTGAGGGATGAGTTGTGGGAAATGCGGGAGGCACGGTCAAGGGCGTTCATGACCACTGAGGGGAGGAAGTTGCGGTCCTTGAAAAACGAGGACATCTGAGATGTTTGGGAGTGGAATGCCTCATCCTGGGAGCAGATGCAGCGGAGACGAAAGAATTGGGAATAGAGGATGTCATTTTTGCAGGAAGGTGGGTGGGAGGAGATGTATTCTAGGTAGCTGTGGGAGTCGGTGGGCTTGAAATGGATATCGGTTTCTAGGTGGTTGCCAGAGATGGAAACAGAGAGGTCCAGGAAGGAGAGAGAGGTATCAGAGATGGTCCAGGTGAACTTAAGGTTGGGTTGGAAGGTGTTGGTGAAGTGGATGAACTGTTTGAGCTCCTCGTGGGAGCATGAGGCGGCACCGATACAGTCATCGATGTAACGGAGGAAGAGGTGGGGTTTGGGGCCAGTGTAGCTATGGAAGAGGGATTGTTCCACGTAACCTACAAAGAGGAAGGCATAGCTTGGGCCCATGAGGGTACCCATGGCCACCCCCTTTGTCTGTAGGAAGTGGGAGGAATTGAGGTTAGCTTTGCTCAGTGAGAAGCTGCACACCATCAGGAAGGAGACATCCCACTCGGAGTTGAGACTCAACTCGCGTGAGACCATATTTCTGGCATTGGGAGGCAATGTGCAGGGGGTAATGCGGTGTTGTTGATACTTTTATTGGGCTCAAGATTGGGAATCCTTTAAAAACCAGCAGAGGCTAACTAAAACATCAGTTTGGGGGCAGAAGATGAAATATGAGAGCAAGCTAACGAGTAACATAAAGTAAGATTGCAAGAGGTTTTTTTTGATATCTGAAAGGTAAGAGAGAGGCAAGAGTTGACATTGGGCTATTGGAAAATGAGGCTGGAGAGGCATTTCTGGGGAACAAAGAAATGGTAGAGGAACTGAATAGGTATTTTGCATCAGTTTTCATGGTGGAAGATGCCAGCAACAGAACTTCTAGAGAGTCAGGAGGCAGAGGTAAGTGTAGTGGCCATCACTCAGGAGAAGGTTCTTCCGCCACCTCCACCTCCACGCTTATTTCTTTAACTGCAAGCCTAACCCTCCCTCCCTTCTCCCGCCTCCTGCAGATCACCCCAAGGCCTCCTTCCGTCCCTCGACCTCTTCATCTCCAAATGGCATCACAACATTGATTGCCTCAACATCTCTACCCCTCTCACTCACTCCAACCTATCCCCCACAGAACACACAGCCCTCCGCTCCAATCCTACCCTCACCATAAAACCCGCGGACAAGGGAGGCGCGGTTGTAGTATGGCGCACTGACCTCTACATCGCCGAGGCCAGACGCCAACTCTCCGACACCTCCTCCTACCACCCCCTTGATCATGACCCCACCACCGAGCACCAAACCATCATCTCCCAAACCATCCACAACCTCATCACCTCAGGTGACCTTCCACCCACGGCCTCCAACCTCCTCATTCCCCAACCCCGCACCGCCCGCTTCTATCTCCTTCCCAAAATCCACAAACCTGAATGCCCTGGTCGACCCATTGTCTCCGCCTGCTCCTGCCCCACCAAACTTATCTCCAACTATCTCAACTCCATTTTCTCCCCCTTGGTCCAGGAACTCCCTACCTATGTCTGTGACACCACCCACGCCCTCCACCTCCTCCAGAACTTCCAATTCCCCGGTGCCCAACACCTCATCTTTACCATGGACGTCCAATCCCTATACACTTGCATTCCCCATGCAGATTCCCAAAAACACCTCCGCTTCTTCCTCTCCTGCAGGCCTGACCAGTCCTCCAGCGCCGCACTGTCAGAGGGTCATTGCTGAGAGAGTGGGCTCTGTCGGAGGGTCAGTGCTGAGGGAGCGCCGCACTGTCGGAGGGTCAGTGCTGAGGGAGCGCCGCACTGTCGGAGGGTCAATGCTGATGGAGTGGGCTCTGTCGGAGGGTCAGTACTGAGGGAGTGCCGCACTGTCAGAGGGTCAGTGCTGAGGGAGTGCCGCACTGTCGGAGGGTCAGTGCTGAGGGAGTGGGCACTGTCGGAGGGTCAGTGCTGAGGGAGTGCCGCTTTGTCGGAGGGTCAGTGCTGAGGGAGCGCCGCACTGTCGGACGGTCAGTGCTGAGGGAGGGCCGCACTGTCGGAGGGTCAGTGCTGAGGGAGTGCTACACTGTCGGAG